TATATATATATATATATATATATATAAAATTATATTTACTATAATTAAAGTTTTAAGTTATTAAATATATTTTAATTATATAGTTATATATATTATATTATATTATATATAGTTATATATATTATATTATATTATATATAGTTATATATATTATATTATATTATATATAGTTATATATAATATATATTATTATATTAATAATAATATAATATACAATAAAATATAAAAATTTATTTAAATTTTATTATATTAAAAAAAAAAATTTATATTATTTGCGATTTATATATATATATTATAATTTTTTATAATATATATTTTTACTTCTTTTTAAATAATTAAAGACTAATAAATATTAATAATAAAAGTTTATTAAACATTAATAATAAAGAAGTATCAAATATGTGATCACAAATGTTGCCTATTGCAATGAACAAAAAATGTCGACGAAATTTTCATCGCAAAAAAAATACAAATTAATAAATACGAGTATTAAATATTATGCGAACAAAATTATACTATATATAATAGAAAGTTGTGAAGAAATATGAATGTAATTAAATCAATTTATAACAACCATACACACACACACACACACAAACACACGCATAAATGAATAAGAAAGATGAAAAAGCATAAAAATTGGCGCGTTTTTAAGAAGAATAGAAAAAACACGAATGGTGATTGGCCAGTGAGTAATTAGAAAAAGTCACGTGTTCATTAGTGGTAGCACGTGGGCGATAGAGGTACCCAATCGGAAGAGATCGGTTCGCTTTTATTGGCCAATCAGGTTCGATTTATGACATGCAATACGTGACTCGTAGAAGGACGCCTTCGTTATACAGCTTGCTTTCTTGCCTGAACGAGAGAAGAAAGATCTTTCTGGGCTCTCACCTCGGTTATATATACAGGGTGTACTCATTTCAAATTGTACCTTTTTGCATAAGTCTCATACGATACTATTTAATAATAATTGAAAAGCAACAAAAGTTCAATTAGTTTATTTAACACTCGATATACCACCATTTTCAATATACCTATTTCTACCACACTAGTCAAAATGACTGGTATATAAAACCAAAAAAAATACCTTTTGAGGCTTCCAGTCTTCATTTACTCGTAAAAAATAACAAAAAAATGTTTAACAAATAATAATTTTAATAGATAAATGGATTTATAAACATTTTGAAATAACAAAACGATTAAATTATTTACAAAAATCAAATGTTACGAAGAAGTAGACATTTTCAATTAAAATGGCGTCAAAACTAGTCAAAATGACTGCTCTGGTATATCTAATGTTAAATAAAATTGAAAAAGAATAATAATTGTAGTTTAATAATTATAACGAATGATTTAATTAGAAAGAAAAAAAGAAATTCGTACACAAGTAAAAAGACAAGAAGATTATTATTGACGATGATTTTACTGTAAAATGAAAGAACAATTGACAATAATGCATTTATCTATTATAATCCTGGTCTCGTTTATCCTTTCTCACTCTGTCATACTACTCTTATAATTTTTTTTTTTTTTTTATAAACTATTATTTCTTTTCATTCGTTCGTTCAAACAGAAAAATAAAAAAAAAAAAAAATGAAATACAAGAAATATACGAAAGCAAATACACAGAGAACTCCCACGCACGTAGAAAGATAGTATTAAGGGAGATACACAGGACCCAAATAAAAGGTACAAATACACACCTACATATAAATATATATATATATATATATAGGAAGAGAAATAAGAAAAGAAGAAGAATGGTCAAATCGAGTATCAAAGAATAGTCCTGTCTCGTGAATCATTTATCGAGCACACTCGTATTTCCGTTCAATGAATTCTTGTAATATCCTTTTACCAGGGACCTTCGTCGTCAGTTAATTTTCAATAAGTTAAAGAAAAGAACATTTCTACGGTAGAGGGAAAAAAAGGGACCCCAAAAATAAAAAAAAACGGACAAAGGAAATACCAAAAACGTAAATGAAATTTTATCGACACAAATTTTTCTTCAAACCTACCATTATTAAATATGTATAWATATATTATATTATATTATATATAAATATATTATGTTATATATTATTATATTATATATTAATATATATAATAATTAATATATTATTATATTAATTTTATTATTATTTATATATTAATTATTTAATTATATATATTTTATATTATGTAATATATATAAAATAATTAATATAATAAATATATAAAATTATATTAAAATATTTTTATAATATATATATATATATATAACAAATGTATTATAAAATATCAAAGTTTAATTACTTATACGTGTTTTTTTTTTTTTTTGTATGTGTTTAACGATAATTACGTCGACCCCGTATTATCTCACATTCACACAACTGACGACGAATCGTTCGATTTTCTTCACACGTTTTCTTCTTTTCTTCAATTCCTCGTATTCCAACATTGTAAACATAGCTCGATCAATCGGTCAATAATTTATCATTCCTTTTTTATTTTCTTTTTTTTTTTTTTGTTTTTTGTTTTCTGCGACACGACACGTCGGAGTCATGAAATTTTCCACAAATAACATAATCATAATTGACAGTAAACGATTGTGCACTAGATTATTACATGCACAATCCTTTTTCTTCTTCCCTCCCCTCGTGTATATATTTCTTTTCTTTTTTTTTCTTTTTCTACATTTGTCTTTTTTAATCATTATCATTGTTTCAACACTCGGTCTTCTTTCTTTTCTATTCGATAACGATTAGTAGTTTTTATTTCTTTTTTTT